CATGTTGCTACTGTTATGAATTTAATGTACATATCTGATATGCAGGATGGTCTTAGGCGACCCCTGTGAAAGGGTCGTTTGACCACCAAAGGGGTCGCAACCCACAGGTTGAGAACCGCTGCTTTAGAGAGATTTCAGTATAACGGTGTGGCCTTGTGTTAGTATCCCGACTTCGTCCCATACTGCCTGTCACAAAACGTCTCCAAACCTCACTTATCGGACCCATTAACAGGGGAACGACGGACTAGCTCTCACTGTGTTGTTACGAGGATGAAAAGAGATAGTCAACGCCAAGGGCTTCCAATAGACGCCCACGTTACGAGTATTTGTTGAGCTGTTTCATTGAATTGAGTTCTGAAATGAAATTACTGAATTATTCTTGAATGGCTTTTACTGCTGTTGTTGTCATTGTTCTTATTGCTGAGGAAACGGCAGAGCCTGAGACGGGACTGGATTAGTTTTTGAGCGATTCCCGCTTTGCTGCCCTGGATTGCATTAATTATTTACAAGTTCATTATCTGGCTCCACTTGATGGATTGATTTCTTCACTCAATAAATATGTATGGGGTGTTTGCTCTGTACCAGGCCCTGTTCCAGGCTGGGAACAGGCCAGCACCGTTCTCTCCCTTGGAGTTTGCGTTCCTGGTAGGGGAGGCAGACGGAAAACAAGGTCATTTCAGACGGTGAAATGTGAAATGAGCCGTGATGAGAATGAAGCACAGAAGGAGGGCAGGTGATGGGGGAGGGGGGGCAAGGGGGGGCTGCGGGTGGTCAGGGAAGGCTTCTCTGAGGAAGTGACATCTTTAAGCTCCGAGGATGGACAGGAACCAGCCTTGAGAAAAGGAAAATGGGGGGTGGGGGTGTCGATCTAGATAAAGAGGTAAACCGAGGCACACTTGAATTCCCAGAAAGTGCGTTTACTTGGGAATAGCAGATGAATTGCAGTTCAGAACACATATGCTACAGCAAGGCACGTGCGCGTCCGCTCAGGGTTTGAGGCGAGCTGTGTTTATGGGCAAGGAGTGCAAAGAGGGGGGACGTCCAGCCAGAGTCCAAGCAGTAAGGCCCCTGGCTTGAGGACGGGAGAGGTTCTTGGTGGATGTTCACTGGTCAGGAGAGAAGGCGGGGTCTCTGTAATCAGGGCATTTACAGGAGATCGGTCTCTTGGTTCTTAAATCCCATTGTTTGCTGAGGGCGCATGCATGGAGTCTCCACCTCATGTCCTCTGGTTCCGTTTCAGATTGAAATCCTTTCACAGGGTGTGTGTGTGTGTGTGTGTGTGTGTGTGTGTGAAGGGATGAATGGTGTACCCCAGGTGGAGGAGCACCCTGAAATGGGAAGGAGCCGGGCCTGGTGACAAACCCGAGAGAGGTCTATGTGGCTGGAGAACAGAGGGGTGGAGGGCCCAGCTCCTATCCTATAGGACCTCATGGGCGATGGTAGGGAATTCAGGTTTTATTTTAATGTGATGAGGATCCATCAGAGGGTTGTCCCTCCCCTCCCACCCCTTCTCCCTTCCCTCCCCCCACCTTCCTCCCCCCTCTCCTGGTATTGGATGGCTTTCTCTCCCACTTCCTTCAGGTCTCAGATGCCCCCTTCAGCGAGGCTCTCCCTGACCACTGTTCCTAAAGCTACAACCCCCTCTTGATGGAAATGGAATGGATTCAGCCACTCCCCGCACGCCAGGTCCTCCTCCTCTGGGTTATATTTCTCCACAGCCCTTCTTACTCTCTAACACTGTACATTTCATCGCTTAATTTTTTTTAATGAGATGAGAAGAATTTTTTAAAAATATGTTCTTATTGATTTCAGAGAGAGAGAAAGGGAGAGGAAGAGAGAGAGAAACATTGATGTGAGGATCATTGATTGGCTGCCTCCTGCACGCCCCCTACGGGGGATCAAGCTCGAAACCCCGGGCCTGTGCCCCGACCAGGAATAGGACTGGCAACCTCTTGGTTCATGGGAGGAAGCTCAGCCACCGAGCCACACCGGTCAGGGCTTCGTTCCTTAATTTGATTGATTGTCCTCTCCCTGGCAAGAATGCAAGGCCTGGAAAGTGCTAGAACAGTGCTGGTGCAACATGTGCAAATATTTGCTGACTGCGAGACTGACTAAAGTTACATGTTGTGGGTTATGCTTTCATAAGGCCCCTCTGGCTACCTCACGGGGGGTGTTGGGGACACAGAGAGTCTAGAGAGGTGACTTGGGAAGCCCCTAGGATGAGGGTGGCAGGAGATGGCCCGGTTTACAGCGTCTCAAATGTAGGGTCCACTGGACTTGCTGACGGCCAGGGTGCGGGTTTGAGGAGGGACAGACTCGCTCGGAGATTTTGACTTGAGCACCTGTGACCATTTCCTGCAACCGGGACAGCTGAGGAGGAACAGCCCAGGGAGGCGACATTCCCGTCAGAGTCAACGCCAGGCGTCTACGCGACAGCGCAGCATCTTCCAGGGGAAAAGATGGTGACGGGAAGGAAAGTGCTTCAAATAGTAGCAAAGCAGGCCCACGGGCAAATGTGAACTGTTCACATATCATGGAATTTGCGATCCAGGGAATAAAAAATTCAAAAACCTGACACGTATATTACACTTAAGTACAAAGCATGAAATACTACTATGAACCAAAATGCCTCTATTTTCAAGTCACAGGAAGTGCTTTCCAACACATTTCAATGGAGTTTAAATTAAAATGAAGAGGCTGACAACGGGGGAGGTGTCCAGTTTGTAGGATTTTCTGTTTTGGCCTTTCCGTTACAGAGACAATTACAAACAAGATTTCATATTCTAGGGGCGGGATACCACCCCAAACCAGGCTTCTTTCCCAGAATGCTGTTCTCAGGTGTTGGGAAGAGGCCCGGGGAGATCTCCCTCTGCTGGGACTGCCCGGCCGCCCCCACATTTCCCGGGGCCACTTCAACCAGGTCACCCCTCCGCCCGCAGCTTCGTGCACCTGCTCCCGTCGGTGCTCATTGTTTGGTTTCCACGCACACGGACGCTCCAGATCTTTCCATGACGAGGTTTGTGGTAAGAGGCAGGCGTGGTTGCGGAGCAGAGACAACCACGCCAACCCCGTGAAGAAATGAATGAAGCAAAGCTACGATACCATCTAACGTCCAGGGGCTTCTGGAAGGCATCTGGTTAAAAAAAAGAAGAAAAAAAAAATGGAAGCTGCCTCCCCCTGGCCATTCCAGCCCGGTCTTTCCTCCTGGGGGCATCATCGAAGCAGAATTTCCCACCTCCAGCTTTTCCTGCCCCGCGAAGGCGAGGTGCTGGCGGCCCGTTTTCCTGCACACAGACGCCTTTCCGCACACCGTCTCGCCTGCAGATGCTCGGGAACAGATCCACAGGAAGCCTCGCCTTTGAGAGAAATTGCTGCAGACAAGCGCGGGCAGGGCTGTAGCCAGGTGGCCGCGTGGGGAGCTCTGGGGCGTGTTCAGCATTCCGTGCGCATCCAGGCTGCCAGGACCCAGCCAGTGCAGGGCACAGGGAGGCCGAATCTCAGGGGCTGCTGCGGGGAGGATGGTAGCGACATCAGCTGCTCTTGCAGGTGAATCTGCACTGGATTCCGGCTGCGATCACTGGACTGGAGGGTGCTGCTTCCCCCAGGCCCCTGTTCTCTGTCCTCGGGGGCAGATCCGCTGGCTGGCAGTGCGTGGTTTGGTGCAGATCACGACCGCTCCTCGGGAAGATAAAGGACCGCCCTGCTCGGTGGACGCAGTTAGGCTGTGCTCTGCTGCCTCCTCAGCTCATGCTTCCGCCGGCCCCTCCTGCTTGGCCCTGGTTTAGCAAGCCCGCGTGGGACAGCCACCAGTAGTCGGCGGCCCTGCGTGACCCTGTGCCCGAGCCTCAGCGTCCCATCCGTGCAATGAGGCGGTTCCACAGAAAATCGCCGCCGGCTCTGTTTCATGGTGATGATGCTCGGAGACCCAGGGTGCCCCGGGCACTGACTGTCCAAGACCCCCATTCCAAGGGCCTTATCTGGGGGCCGTCCCAGTCCCCCTTCCCCAACCCCAGTTATGAACAAAGGCAGCGGCAAATGGGCACACACACCCTCATCCTCACTCTTTCCCGAGGACACTGTCTGCCCATACCTGCCCAGAACAAATGCTGGGAAAATGGAAATGTCAATTAAATGGTTGCTATGGCAACCTGCTCTCCTGTTTGCTGCTACATTTTCAGTGTTGTAATCATTTTTTTGCCCTTATAGAGTTGATTGAATTCCTCAATTGTTGCCGCCTTCCCCAAGTCTGTCTCCCTTTCAAAATACTTGCACGCGTGCGTGTGTTTGCAAGCGCGCACACACACACACACTCAGGCACTCACACACACTCAGGCACTCACACACACACTCAGGCACTCACACACCATCCCCACTAGTTTGTAAAGACTAACAGAGCGGAGGATGCATCTAAGAAGGGCTGAGATGGAATCCTGGAGAGTGCTTTCAGAGCAAGAGTATACATTTTTGTGGGGGGTTTTTTGGTGCCTTTTTGGGATAGTTTAATGAGATATAGATAGTTTTCAGTTCAAGACCAGAAAAACCCTACCATTAATTCCCTTTCCGAGCCCACCTAAGCTCTCCAACTTCTTGAACAGGAGGTTAGGTCTTTATCAAGAGAAAATAAGCTCTTAGCCCAACCCGGTATCTGATAAAGAGCCTTGAGAAAACGTGGCTCAGTGGTTGAGCATCGACCTATGAACCAGAAGGTCACGGATCCATTCCATCAGGGCGCATGCCCTGGATGCGACTCGATCCCCAGTAGGGAGCGTGTAGGAGGCAGCTGATTAATGATTCTCTCTCATCTTTGATGTTTCTCTCTCTCTCCTCCTCCTCTCTAACATCAATAAAAACATATTTTTGAAAAAAGAAAAGAAAATTCCCGCCACCTTTTCTCCCTGAGAAGAGTGTCTTACTCGTTCACAGAGCCTGGGCTGGGTTTCACCCTGGAGTTCTGAGCGGCTCGGGGAGGAGCAAGGGCCTGGAGGCAGGTGCCTGTCTGGGTTGGAATCCACTTTTATTAGTCACGAAACTTTGAGTCACATACTCCCTCGGTCAGTCTATGAAACCAAGGTTGACAAGAACAGTAAGACCTCATTGGGCTGTTCGGATAATTCGGTGAAATGCCACCGTAAGCGCTGGCAGGTAGGAAGTACCCGATCGGTGATTGTTCTTATCATAGTCACGTTGGTCACTTCAGGAAACTCACAGAGGAAGAGGGTGCTGTCAGGTGGTCACTGCTGGAAGCCATGTGCTAGAACTTTCCTCACGCGCGTCTTCACTGCTCTTCGGAATGCGTTCAGCTCCATCTCTCAGCGCAGGCTGGGCTGCAATAAACAAATGTTCACTTATTTTTTTTTTCTCCCAGTTGAGAAGTGAGCTGATTTGAATATTTGTAAATTTTGTTTTATTTTTTAAAAAATTATTTTATTATTTTTGTATCTACTTGTTTAAATTGAGCTAACATTGGTTAATAATAACATTACATACATTTCCAGTATACGACATGATAATTCGATATCCGTATACTCTATTGCGTGCTCATCACCCAAAGTCTAGTTACCTTGTGTTACTGTATATTTGACCCCCTTACCTTTTTGCCCTCCTCCCCATCCCCTTCCCCTCTGGTAACCACCGTGCTGCGTCTGTTTCTGTGAGTTTTATTTTGAAAGGTGTTTTTTTTCTGTTGCCAAACCTGATGATGACATTGTCTATCATCAACTCCGTGTCGGTGCTGAAGTGCCTGGGGGAGGAGGTGGCATTTCTCCCATGACTGAGCGCCTAGGCCCACGAAGGAATGCCCTCTGTTCTTACTCACAGGGCGAGTCCCTGCAGGGGCCCAGGCAGTCCTGGCAAAGAGGAAATGGAATGAAGGACGCTTCTTGGTGGCGTTTATGCTCCGAAGTCTACTGTCCCAGACAGGTCTCTCCCACTGTTTCCTCCATCGGTGTCCTTGGGGAAGAGTGAGGGGCAGGGGTGAGAGAGAAGGTCTGAGCACTGCCCCGGGGTTGCTGCTTCTGCGGGGGAGAGGGGCACGTGGGGAGGCAGAGAGACACCATTTATTTTTTAAAAATATATTTTATTGATTTTTTACAGAGAGGAAGGGGGAGGGATAGAGAGTTAGAAACATCGATGAGAGAGAAACATCGATCAGCCGCCTCCTGCACACTCCCTACTGGGGATGTGCCCGCAACCAAGGTACATGCTCCTGACCAGAATCGAACCTGGGACCCTTCAGTCCGCGGGCCGACGCTCTATCCACTGAGCCAAACCAGTTAGGGCAGAGACACCATTTTAGATGGCATCTAAAGGTATTATTATTTTACAGAAATTTCAGAATTTTAATATTTTTTTAAAAGATCAAAATTATACACACACACACACACACACACACACACACACACACACACACACACACATTGAGTGGCCAGATTATTATGACCACCCCATCAA